TTTAAGTAAACTCTATGCCACACATGGGGCTTGAACTCATGACCCTGAGATCAAGAGTTGCATGCTCTACCAACTGAGCCAGCCAGGTGCCCCTCCCGTATCTTTTCTAATCACAACAATGTAAACTAGAAATCAACTACAAGGGAAAAAAACTGGAAAAAAAACACAAAAACATGAAGGCTAAACAACATGCTACTAAACAACAGAAGTCAACAAAGAAATTCAAGAGGAAATCAAAAAATACATGAAGACAAATGAAAATGGAAACACAACAGTTCAAAATCTTTGAGATGCAGCAAAAGCAGTTTTAAGAGGGAATTTATAGCAATACAGGCTTACCTCAAGAAACAAGAAAAATCTCAAATAAACAATCTAACCTTACACCTAAAAGAACTTAAAAAAAGAACAAAGCCCAAAGTTAGTGGAAGGAAGGAAATAATAAAGATCAGAGCAGAAATAAATAGAAACTAAAAACAAAACAAAACAAAAGAAAGAAAGAAACATACAACAAGAATAGAAAAAATCAAGGAAACTAAGAACTGGTTCTTTGAAAAGATAAACAAAATTGATAAGGCTTTAGCCAGACTCATCAGGGGGAAAAAAAAGGAGAGAAGACTGAAATAAACAAGCAATGAAGGAAAAGAAGCTACAACTGAATGAATGAACACGGAGGGTGGGCCATGCCCTTGGCTTTAGGGAGGTTGTATCTTCACATGCCCACCTCCACTAGCAAGGTAGAGGATGAGAGCAAAAAAAGGCACACTCCAGCACCTCCATCCCAAGAAAAATCTCAACAAACCCCTGCCCCTCCAGCACTCTTTAATATGACCAACTGGATCACCATCACATAAAATCCAGTCCCCTCTTAATCTGCTGCCTTCGCACTGGTTCCTGGGACGAGTGAGTCCATGCACTAGCCCCTCAGGCTCCCTGGCTGTAAACCCCATTGGTTTTCATGGTCTCTTTGGTGCAGGTCTCAACGGTTGGAGTGCCCAGTGTGGGGCACAAATCCCTCACTCTTCAGGGAGAGGCTTCAGGAGTGAGGTGCCTCCCTATTGTGTGTCACAGAGCCAGGGATAGGGTTTTGGTGAGACTGTGTCTCTGCCTCTCCTACCCAATCTAGATGGGGTCCTTTTATCCCTTGTGGAGAAAGCTGTTCAGCTAGTTTTCAATTCTTTTTCAGCAGGAATTATTCTATAAGATTTGGTGTGTCTACAGAGGAGGTGAGTTCAGGGTCTTTCTAGGCTGTCATCTTGAACCACCACATAATTTACAAGTTATTCTTGTAACTTTTAGTCCGTGAAAATAAAACACAATCGTTTTACAATTCATTCAATGGCAGCTGTTAATCATCAAATTAGCAATGGTTATCTTCAAAAGTTATTACATTAGCTGTGCCATCATTTCTTGAGGATGAGCAAATACCTAGAGTCACAGACATTTCCCATATAAGATGCATCATATAAATCAGATTCAATTTATCACCAGCATTTATAAAACCAGACCTAGGAAAAGAACTAGGTCTGAGGACACATGCATGGTCTTAATATAGTGAATGTTTAGCCTGCCTTGATTATTACAAAATCAGAATAGCAAGAATATTCACAGTATAAATTATTCTTAATGGACAAACCAATAAGGAAAAAAAATGGACAAATGACTTAACTAGACTCTTATCAAAAGAGAAAATCCAAATAACCAATAAACATATAAAAAGATACCCCATCTTAGTTGTGATCAGGGAAATTAAATTAATCCGCCATGAGGGACCACTAGATAACCATCAAGTTGTCTAAAATGTAAAGGTCTGACAATACCAAGTAGTGCTAAGGATGTGGAATAACCAAAATCTTTATACATAACTGATGGATATACAAATTAGTAAAAAACACTTTACTAAACAATTTGACATGTAGGACAAATTGATGTTATGCATGCCCTGTGCCTTAGCAATTTCACTCCAAGGTATCTCTCCTCCAAAAAGCAAGCCTGTGTGCACAGGATATAAGTAACAAGAATGTCCACAGCAGCACTCTTTAAAACACATGGAAACAACTCAAATACTTTTCAGCAGTCATAAATCTATTAAGTAGTCAATATACTGAGGTAAAAACCAATGCTGCACACAGAAACACAGACAAATCTTAAAAACATAATAAAGAAGGAAGCCAGCCACAAATAATACTTTTGTGCTGCCGCTTATATATAGGTCAAAAAGAAGCAAATTAAACCACCCTCTTTGGGGCGCCTGGGTGGCTCAGTTGGTTAAGACTCTGCCTTGGCTCAAGTCATGATCTCAGGGTCCTGAAATCGAGTCCCACATCGGGCTCCCTGTTCAGCAGAGAGTCTGCTTATCCCTCTCCCTCTACCCCTCCCCCAATTTCTGCACTCTCTCTCTCCCCCTCTCTCTCTAATGAATAGATAAAATCTTAAAAAAAAAAACACTCTATTTAGCGATGCATACTGAAGGGAAAATCATAAAGCAAAGCATGAAAGTGATGATTATCCAGGTCAGAGCAGCGGTTGCCTTGTGGGGGAGGTGGTAGGCTGTGGTCACTTAGGGGTTCCCTGGGACCTTCCGTGATGCTGGAAAAGGTCTGTTTTCTTGATCTACGTGGTGGTTACACGGTGTTTGCTATATGTTCCGTCACTAAGCTATGTACACCATTTGCTTATTTTCCTTTATGTGCATTAAATTTCATCATTTAACAGTGATTTATTTTTAAAGTTTAAAAATAAAAGCCATGGGTGAACATAAACCTGCACATAGAGGAAAAAAAGCAGTGAAGTCATTGCACTCAGGAACTGTGTGACTAGTCGAATGAGGCATCTGGGAAAGGGGCTTGCTCCTTCAACAGGTTAATTTATTAATGTAGCATAGAATGTGTAGTCATTGTGTTGTTGTTGTTGTTGTTTTCTTGAAAGCAGACATGATACGGAGAGCACAAAAATTCTATGAAATGAAAAAAAGAAGAAAGCACCAACAGAGCAACATTAAATGGGAGATAATAAGGCTGTTTGTGTTTCCCTGGCACTTCTTCCCCAACAAAACCTCAGGCAGGAGGTGGGAACACTCAGCACAGTTAGGAAAAGCTCCTGCCCGGAGGTTGGGATGGTGATTTAACCAGGATACACACAGGTAGAAAGGAAAGGGTCCATCCTGCGCACATGCTAATCTCCAAATGCATTGTAGATTTGCTTTTCCAGAAACAGGTATAGGAGGGGTTCAGAAGTATTTGGAAGATGCTAGGTCCATTCTTTCCATATTCCCAAGGGCACGACTGATCAACTTAAAATATATGGAGAAGGAAAGAGTTCTGAACTGAGAATCAAAAGAGCTGAATATTTTATGCCAGCACAATTCACACCTTGCTTCTTTCCTTTGTGCAAGCCCATTCACCCATTCAAGCCTCATGTCCTCCATCTCTAAAAGAACGAGAAGGTACCACTGAGTCTGCGCTATGTCTTGGCAGCAGATGGTCAGGCTACGGCCTGCATTCTGTGGCAGGAATTGTATGCCCCATGCAGAGTCTCCTGGGAGTCTTCCATGGAGTCATGCAAGGGAACCCTCAGCCTTGATCTAGTATTGAACTACTTACTTCCAGTCCACTAGCACCCCTCCTCTTCCCCACCCCCATGCCAATCCACAGTGGTGCTCTCAACAACACACGTTGGAACCCAGAATAAAACTCACCTGGCTATTTTTTGCATTCACCAATAGATCTCTTGGAGAGAGTATGCTGCAAAAAAAGAAAGAAACACAGCCATAATGGTGGAATTTAATAATGAATAAAGAGGAGGAGGAAAGAAAGAAGGAGGAGAAGGTGGTGGTGGTGGTGGTGGAGGGGGAGAAGGAAGAGAAGGAAGTGAATAACCTAATTTCTACCACAATGAGTGTAATGGACTTCGTAATTTGTCATCCTCAGAAAACCTTTTACAATGCACTTTTTGAGAAGAGGAAGCTGAAGCTCAGAGATGCTAAATAATTTATCCAACGGTATGTGACTGCAAAATGGAGCATAACCAATAAAATTATGCTCTACTGTCAATTTACAGACTCAGAATCCTATGGCTGTGGGCTATTTGAGTACAAGCCTGCCTCAAAGGACAAGAAGATAACCAAAGTAAGTGTCTTCTCAACTTTTGGTCCTCCACCCACCACTTCAGGGAAGACAGACCTAATGACCCTTCCCCAGAGCTGTGCCCCTATAGCTCCAGGGAAGTGGTGTCCTGCTCTACTCTGAACACTGGGCATCCAACCTTGAACACCACACTGATCTGGCTCTTCCTGTGAGAGAACAGAAGAGAGTTCCAACCCACCCATTCCAAGAAGATTACCTTTACCAGGATCTCAAAGTTCCCAAATACTAGGCAACATTTCATACAGGTCATTTGGAAAATGAAGACCCTCAGTGAATTTTTCTGGTTGGCAGATTCCCTCCACCATCTGCCTCTAGCCAGGTAAAAAAATCTGCTGTCCAAAGAGAAGGCTACCCCTTCTCTGCTATGTCTGAGCCCCTACCTAACTCTTGGGCAGACCAACAGTTGACACCTTGAGACCCTTTGTTTCTTGAAACACAGCAAGTTCTTGTTCACATCCTTTCTGGTCTTAAATTAAGCCTGGGTTTATAATATCACTTGTCTGGTCTCCTGTGTTTTCAGGGAACTCTGAAGGAAAGGAGAAACAAAATAGAAAGTAGACATTTCCTGCATTTTTCTATCATACACATGAAGTTATAGGATAAATATTTGGGCCTGGTCTCTGCACCTGTTCAGCCTTGACTGAGTTCCTTCTTTTCCCATGATTTGTAAAAAAGAAAGTAGCACAGACAGGACCAGGGACTCTTCTTCCTCTAACCCTGAAGAAGCCTGTCTCCCCTGGGTACCCTTCCAAGTAGAATGAGGCCAGTGTCCAGCCCCACCCAACCTTGTCCAGCTCTATAAAGGAAGCTCCCAGGCAGCCACCCCCAGGAAGTTCCAGGTCTATACCCTCTCAAGCAATGAGGTGCTCTCTCTCTGGATTACTCTTCCTCCTGTTGATCTCACTGCCGTCAGGTAAGATGGCGGGTACAGGTCTGATCATGAAAGTAGGGGTCTTCCGAGGACACAGGCACTTAAAATCCTTTATGGGCATAAGACCAGCAGGGGGACACCCAATAGCAGATGGACCAGCAGGCTAGGGATGGGATGTGAGTTGGTGGTCTTCAGCCCTTGCCCTGCTCACCTGTTGCCACATCCTGAAGGTCTACCCAAGCTTGAGAGAGAGGAGCCAATTTCATGACACACACATCACCGTTCAGCTATTCAAATTCCTATTTCCCTTAACTTCCTCTGATTAGCCTTAGACATGGCGGCCCTCACTGAAATAGGATATGAGGTGAGAGGACAGGATGCAGAAGGTCAATCACAAAATAATAAGCCACCCACCAGGAAGAGAGGGCAGGTCTAGGATTTCTCCAAGCCCCGTAAAGCCTGATTTTTCTTTTCCATGTTTTTTTTTTCCTTCAGGGAATGGAATGTTTGGAAATGATGGAGTAGAAATTCGTACTTGCACTGCACTTAAAGGCAGGTGCTTCTTCGGTTGCAGAGTGGGATGGAGATGGGTAGCATTCTGTCACAACATATTGTCTTGTTGCACAAAAATGAAGAAAAATATCCTCCCTCAGGTCAATGAGCCATGACCCTTACCTCATGGGTCCAATTAAAAGGATATATGAATGGCTAAAAGGACAAAATCCCCTCTCTGTGTGTAAAGATCATTGACAAGCCATGGGTAGCAAATGAGGAGCAGATTCTCACCAACTTACTGGCAAAATTCCAGAGGTATTTTGTGAAGGGGCACTGCAGCAAAATGTATCTCCTGTTCTTTTTTCTGCCCTCCCAACCCCAATCACCAATTCCTATTTCAAATTTAAAGTCAGTTGATGAACACATGGCCATAGGCCAAAGGAGATGATGTATGCTGAGCTCAATCACCATAGCCTACTCTGTGCCAGTCACACTTTTAAGTGGTTCACGTATATCAAATCACTACATCCTCACCACAAAACCTTTTTTTGCCTCCAATTTTGCAGATGAAGGAACTTTTCCAAGGTCACACAATCAGTAAGTGTAGGTTAGTAGTGGGTTTGAACCCAGTCTTGATCCAGTGTCTTTACTGTCAATCTATACCACCTCCCAATTATAAGAATCAAGCTGGAAGTATTCACTGTAGTTTGTAGTGGTTGTAGGTTGCAGTCCAATGAGGAGTCAAGAATCCAGCTAGATCCATGGAACAGCAGACCCCTCAAAACTCTCCCTATGGCTTAAAGCTATAATGTTCCTGGTTGCTCCATTGCATTCCTGACTCTACTCAGCAGCTCTGATGCTTCAAGATCAAGGTTGCCCTAAGATTCCACACACCAACCATCGCTGCTCTCACCACTATGGTGGAAGCAATGAGCCAGACATACCCACACCCAAACTTCCAGCTGTCTGTGGGGTAGCATTTTTCCAGCAGCACTTCCTTACTACCCCTCCAGTGCCCCAGCCCAGGGGCAGATGTAACAGAGCTTCTTAAAGACCCTTTTCATTAGCTGCTCAGGAGGAAGAACAATAGCTGAGTGTCAGTCAGGGTTTCCCTCCTCCAAGGATGTGTCTGAAGGAAACACATCTGAATGTGTGCACTGGAATGCTAAGCAGGGCTTCATTCTTTCTGGAAGTCCTGCCTGCTCAGACTCATCCACTTTAATCCTCAACGTTCCAACAAAAAAGAAAAACCAGAAAGCTTGAGTAGTCCACAGGGCTGGCCTCCTCGGGCATCTGTGTCTTAGCTAGTCCTTTTGGTTACATCTAGAGAGGTTCTGTGGTGTTGGGCTACCTGTATTTGCTAATTAAACCCACTCCCTAACCAAAAGAAAAGGAGAGGTGGGTGCAAAAGCTTGCAAAGTAATATAAATGCAATGAAATTAACATAAAAGTGGGAAATACAAAGAGAAAACTGGGTGAAAGGAGAAGGCAAATATTCTTTCACCAGATTTCAAAAGGGTCCACAACCCAAAATAAAGGCTAAAGATCTCTACCCTTTTCTTGTGGTTCCCAAAACCACAATCATACCAGCCAGAGGTGAGATACTGCTTTAACTTTGACAATGGGATGGCAGAATAGACACACAACACTGCCTTTGATGTTCTTCAGGACAGCTTAGATGAGGCTGGAACATTCAGTTATTCTGGCTAAAAACCCACATATGAAATAAATAAGCGTACTGATTTATCACACATAAAAGCCATTTTGTACTCACCTCATGGCTTCATGGGTACAACCTTTGAAGGAGTGGCCACCTGCTCTGAGGAAGCCAAAACTACTCATCTTTGTTCTCCACATCACAAGGCAGCCATGGGGAAAGTCCATGATTTAGGTTTCGCAAATCAGATGTCTGTCCCCAGGCGCTGGACTTGAGTCAACAATATCACTACATCAGTGCCATTGGGAAACTGGTTCATCCTAGCGCAACAGACTGCTTCAGGACCCTGCTCTAGCAGAATGACCCTTCAGGGCTCCTTTGCTTATGGCCCTATTCTGAGCCTTCTCTATGAGGTCTCAGATATCTCTCTAGTGCATTCCCCTTAGGCTTAAAAATGCCCAGAGTTAATGTAAGTTACTGGAAATCAAGAAATCTGAAGGATACGGAGAACTTTTACTGATACCTTATCATACAGTCATTTTCTTTATTTTTTTTATTATTATGTTATGTTAATCACTATACATTACATCATTAGTTTTTGATGTAGTGTTCCATGATTCATTGTTTGTGTATAACACCCAGTGCTCCATGCAGTACGTGCCCTCTTTAATACCCATCACCAGACTAACCCATCCCCCAAGCCCTCCCCTCTAGAACCCTCAGTTTGTTTCTCAGAGTCCGTAGTCTCTCATGGTTCGTCTCCCCCACCGATTTTCCCCCCTTCATTTCTCCCTTCCTACTATCTTCTTTTTTTTTTTTTAACATATAATGTATTATTTGTTTCAGAGTTACAGGTCTGTGATTCAACAGTCTTGCACACTTCACAGTGCTCACCATAGCACATACCCTCCCCAATGTCCATCACCTAGCCGTCCAATCCCTCCCACTCCCCACCACTCCAGCAACCCTCAGTTTGTTTCCTGAGATTAAGAACTCCTCATATCAGTGAGGTCATATGATACATGTCTTTCTCTGATTGTCATACAGTCATTTTCACGTTAAATTAGGTAATGTGTGGAATTACCCCAGCACTCCTGACCCTGATCGCTACCCACACGCTGTGAAGCCAGGATATCAGTGGCAGTAGGAACTGAAACAGGCATCCATCTACGCGTGCAAAGAGAAAGCAGATCTCAGGGACAATCAGACCCTGCCCCCCAACACTACCTCCTCACTCTAAAATTCTTTTTCCGGGATCAAACTTGGAGGTTTAAAGTTTTGGCTATGTTTCAGGTCTGGGTCTGCCATAAAAATTACCACAAACTGCGTGGCTTAAAACACTAGAAATTTGTTTTCTCACAGTTCTAGAGACCAGAAGTCCAAAATCAAGGTATTGGAGGGCCATATTCCCTCTGAAAGTTCTAGAGAAAAATCCTTTTCTGTCTCTTCCAAGTTTCTGGTGGTTATTAGCAATCCTTGGCTCTCTTTGGCTTAGAGCTACATCACTTCAATCTCTGTCTCTGTCTTCACACGTTCTTCTCCCTCATCTGTGTGTGCCTCTGTATCTTTACATGGCCTTCTATAAAGACACCAGTCATTGGATTTAAGGCTGGCCCTAATCCAGTATGGCATTATCTCAATTAATTGCATCTACAAAGACCTTATTTCCAAATAAGGTCACGTTTCAAAGTTCCAAGTGGACAGAATTTGGGGACACCACCAGTCAACCCAGATTCACAATTTCTTTGGGGCAGAGAGAATCCCTTCTTTACTCACATTCTTTTTACACACAATAAGAAGAGCTAAGACCAGGAGAGGATTTGCAAATAAACCAATCTTTGCTATGAAAACCAACATTTTTCCCCTTCCTTTTTCCCCAGACTTCCCCTGGAGAAGACACAAAGAAGGATAAGGTGGTCCCTCACCTCAAATGCTCAGAGATTATTTGGAGAGATAGAAGTCTAAATAATCACAACATGAACTGGCAGAGCTCATAGTAATCCATGAAGTGACCTGTAGGCTTTCCTATAACACAATAAGCTTGTGTTCCCCAGCTTTATCCGGGTATAATTGACAACTTAAGCCTGTATATATTTCAGGTATACAACTTGATGATTTAATACGCATTATGAAACAAGCTAATGCACATATCTATCATGTCACACAGTTACCGTATGTGTGTGTGTGCGCGCACGCACATGCATGCGCGTGATGAGAACACTTAAAATCCACCCTCTCAGCAATTCTCAAGTGTACAATACCATATTGTTGACACATGAAGTTTTGAAGTCAAAGTGGAGGTGAGCTATATGGTATATGGCAAATCTGGTATGCCTTATGTGGAAGCATAGAGAAAATTCTAGAAAAACTAGTTCATGCAGAGACAGCTAACCCAGCTGGAATGAAAGTAGAAAGTACATCACCAATTCTGTGCTCCCACTTGGGCTGTCATTTCAGAAGTCATATATTTAAAAAAAAAGTGTAATTAGATAATAATGATAGCAAAATCCCAATCCTATGTGCTGAGTTGGCATCAAAGGGATCCAGATCTTGAGCCACAGCAACTCTTCTCAAAAGCTGGTTTCTGTACCCTTCTGTGCCCACGATGCAGAAGTAGCTCCAACTCTGTAAGCCCAACTTGAGATTCCTCTTGCCAGCCCAAACAACAGAACTCTCTCTCCTCAGCCCTCATTCCCAGCTTAACTTAGCCACCTTGAGTCTTCTCGTCTTTTCTCTCACCACCCAGTTCCCAATTTTGCATCTCAAGAGCACCAAAAACCACACTGGGAAAAAATGTTCTTGGTGGGGTGGGCGAGAGGAGGTGAAAGAAGAGGGAAAGGGGGGGGAACAGGCTTGCAGTAAACAGTGCCTCCGTGATGTCCCCCTGAGAACCAGTTCGTGCTCTCCGCCCCGCCAAGAGACTCAGAGTCATGGGCGGGGCCTAAGATGAGCAGTGAGGTCATAGAGCCGGTACTCTGCACAGAGAACTAGTCATGTTGTTGTCATGACTACTACATCCACCATCACCGGGACTGTGATGAAAGGAAGAATTCTATTAGCAAGACTAGCCAGCCACTCCCTACCCATGGGTGCTCAGAGTTCCAGCAGAAGAGTACAGGCCTCTTAAGTGTCCCCAGACAAGCATTCAGCAGGGATCACAGGTCTCCATCCTCCACGATAAAAGCCCATTTATGCTGGGCACATGCGCAGACATCCAAGCAGACAGGAGTGAGCAAGCGTGACATGGCTGGGGGTGGGGGGAGGGGCGGGTCACAAGCAGACACCTGGGGTTCAGGAAGGGCCTGTTGGAAAGTTCAGAGGCCCATTCCCTGCCTTCTTTCCTATCCAGAGTAACCACGGAGCAGCAGTGAGCTCCACTGGTCAGGTCCAGGTGGGATCTTCTACCCACAAAATCCAGGTAGCCGCCTCTGCTGCCCAAGTCTTGTCCACAAGCCACCAGCAGAGAGATTCTGACTCCGTAAGACAGGAAGTATTTTTGAATCAGCCTGTTGGGAA